CTAACCTGGTGGTCTGCAGTCTTCAATCTTCTTAGAATATTAAAGACTGCAGACCACCAGAAAAGAAAGAAGAAGATTGAAGACTCAATCGTCGCTGGTGGGTTAAAGAATGGTATTGAAGATTGCAGACCACCAGAAGAGGAAGAATAAGAAGATGTTACGACCCAACCGTCGCTGGTGGACCGGTTGCCATTGTCGTGTTTCAGCCTGTCTCCTCTCCGGAGCTTGACCCTGCCCTTGTTCTTTGCTCTTGTGCTCTTGCTCCGGTCGTTGTTGTGGTAGTCATCGCGTGCTTGTCGTTGGTGGTGCTTGCTTTTGTGTCGTTGTCGTTGTTGTTGTTGTTGTCTACCCGTTCGAGATACAGCAGTTAGCGCCCGCGATTAAGAAGAAACAAAGGCTCAATTTTCCACGAAAAATAAGAAAATAGTGTTGAGAAGCATAGCTCAATCTGCGCCACAAAATAAAAAACGTCTCAATAAGAAAACAGGAGCGACTGCTACCCTACTTCGATTGGGGCGTGGGTGCTCCTAGAGGTAGACCCAGAGGGAGGGAATGAGAGGCGCAAAAGGGTGACAACCCCCAATGTTCGCCTTACTGAGCTTGCAACATATAATGACGGGTGATTTTGGTTGTTGGCATGTCAGTGTGCGGGTGAGGCATCGTGGGGTGTTTGTTCGTTTAATTAGTTTCAGCCCTCACTCATGGGGGGGCCACAGGACCTTGTAGCGACAGCGAGGCGTTTCAGCTGAATGTATTTCGCTTAGCTGTGGCCTTCATACGTACTTCAGTACAACCGTCGGTGGTGAGAATCAATCGGGGTTGAGTACGGGAGGCGAGGAGAGCAACGCAAATCATTTGTTTATTTAGCACGTTGTGTATGCAAGAAGAGAACAACAAGAAATTGCCGATTTAAGAAATTCAGCAGGATTCTGCAGCACGAAAAAATAAGAAACTTGACATAAGAACTTGGACAACCTACCCTGAGACAATAAGAATTTGAGACTGGACCGGAAACTGGTGTTTCTTCAACGCGGGCGCTAACTGCACGTTGTTTTTTTTGTGCCTTCGACATCGTTTGGAGAGAAAAGAAGTCGGGTTTCCTGCAAGGTGTCGTCCTTGGGGTCTAGACAAGGTTAAGGTTGACGGATATTTCTTCCGTCCGGCGGAGCTGTAAGTGCCTGCTCATCTGTTGCCTAAGCCGCCGCTTATTATGCTGTTTCCCCTCCCCGTGGTTTTCCCCTGATGCTGCAGGACCTTGACATGATGGGCAAAAAGGACGAGGATGCGCTGGACTCGATGGAGGGCGGGGCTAGCCGCGACGGGGGGATGAACGCCAACGAGTCGCGCGTCGTGTAGAACTCCTGACGTATCCTCCAGCAAGGAAACGCTCTTCTAAAGAAAAGTCTCGCCCTGTCCGGATGGTTTTAGCCTTTGGTCCACCCTCTTTCCTTTTTGAGTGAAACGGCCGAGGAGTTCTGTTCCGCTCCGCGGGGGCATGTTTTCAACGTATCGACGATTTACTCGCGTCTCTTCCTGGTACAAGTTTGTTGTATGGCTGTTTCCTAGGGCCCGATGTGTCCCGAAAGCGGAGCAAGTCCGCTGCTTTGAGGTTCCGATGTCGCTGACTGCAATTGTACGTATTTTCGAAATTGTTCAGAGAGAAAATTCGCCGATGAGGCGACGGAGTGCTTGTTGCACACTTTGCGTGATGGCTGCACCGTGTTGTTAATAGCACGGGCGCCAGTGTACCCACAGTGTTGTTACTGCTGTGTTACAAGGAGCCCAATTGTATTGCCAACCGGGCTTTCCTTGTAACGCTAAGTACGTGTCCGATGGTGCTGTACGGGATTTGGTCGGTAGCGCATCATTCACTAGAAGTAGTGTCATGGTTGTTCCGTTGTGTTGGTTGTAGGTGTAAGCGAGCGTTTGGCGTTCTGTTGAACACATACAGTAGACCGGGGTATCGACATGTATGTGTGCACGGATCGCAAGTGCTTGCTCGAGCCGATGATCTGTTCTGTCGGCAGCAATGAAGGTGGTACTCGTCATGACCCCTAGGGTTGAGCGTGTAGGGGTAATAGGGTACAGTAGACTAACGAAACCATGCAGAGAGGCTACGTGAGGCGGGTAGCCCTTCTTGATGCCATGCATTCCCTAGTCTGGTTTGTGCTTTGTTTTGAGATAGTGAGTGTTTGTTGTGGGTGGGTATCTAATGCTGTTACTATTTCTACGTGTGTGGGAGACTGCCTCCCCAAAGACTTGCTTTGTACTAATCCAATGCTGATAAGCCGTGCATAAAACATAATATTGTCCCACTTATATCTGGTCGTCATCCTCCTTACATGGTTCGATATAGGTCTGGATGCACCAGTCAGGGTAGCGCAACACAAGCAGGAGAAAATAGTTTTGCATATTGTACCATTTCCGAATGACAAGGTCGATGACAGCTACCTACACGTGTACGAAACTTTGTCAGTTTCCCACAATCAAGCTTGCCACGTACAGTAAGTATATCGGGGCTGTGTTGCAACCTCCTCCCCCTCTACAAACAGCGGTTTTGGTTGGAGCGCGGACGGACAAGGGACACGGGGACACTCTGTCTGAAAAGCTGAAAAGCTAAACAAAAAGCTGTAAACTTAACTTCTTTAAAAGATAATCTGCACCACGTAACCCCTTGCCCCCCTCCCTCTGCCCAATCCGCGTACTCCCAGAGCACCTGATTCCGCCGCGTCTCGGTAGCAGTCGGATCGCTGCTGGTCCTGTGCACTTCACGCGTCGCCGGGGCCTAGGCGTTGTCAATGCTGCGCCATGCTGGCTCTCTACGTGCTTCTTCCGTTTGCTCCAGGAGGTTTGCGTCCCGCAATCGTGTCCACGACGTCGTAGCAACAGTCGGCGCGCCATGTTGCTCGAAACCATATCGCTACCAGATCCCTCGCTCGACGCCAGGACTGCCGTACTGCTCGCACCTTCACCACGATGCCCGGCGAAGAAGAGAAGGCGACGGCCCGATACCGCCCGTACCCCGCCCGGTGGGCCTTGCGGGTGGCGATGGAAAGAGGTCGGCGCTCGGGAGGGGCGCTATGGCGGCGATAGCGCGTGCGCAGCAGATGGCATTGAGCTCGGAGGAAGGAGCTGGCGGGTTGGGATCGAGGAGCAAGGCGGAACAGTCCCAGGCGGGCATGGACGCGGAAACCCGGAGGTCGATCGGGGAAGGGGACAAGAAGTCCAAGAAAAGCATGAAGACGGTCAAGGTCAGTTTCTTTTCACGGGCTCTATAGCACGGAACATGAATGCCTGTGCGCTGTGGCGGCGTGGTGGAGTGCCGGTAAACGTCGAGTGCGCGTTGCGGTTGGATTGCAGTTGAAACACATCATGTAGGAACATACAAGCCGTCACAGCAAACCCGCGAGCAAGTAGACGGTGCGTGTATACCCTTCCAATGCTGTACGTCAGAGTACGCCATTCGACCTCTTGCGGAGTAGTCGGCGCGATAGAGCGGTGGAAAAGACAGCGGTGACCGTTGGCTTGATGAATTGCTCACGGTTCCTTGAAGCTGCTGCGTCAAGGTGCCGCACGTGAATGCCATGAATTTCAGAATGTTCCGTGAAAGCACAGCAGTCTTGCAGCAGTCATCAAGTTGCGAGCGTACTGGGAAGCGTTCCGCCCATGCAGTACCTCCTTCTCTAGCAGCCACGACGAGCAGAGTTTGGTCTTCGTAGCGGAGTTATCCAGTCTTCGCCACCAACTCGATTTCGTGCAGCACGTGCAACTACCTGTCGCTCAGCGGCCCTTACTTCCGTCGGAATCGATCTTGACTGGCTATTTGACTTCACAATGTGTCTGGCTTTGATCTCGTTGCCGTCGACATGTCTCATGCTACGCATTTTATGTTTCGGTTTTCTCGTCAAGGCAACGTTCTTGTTCCGAACTTCGCAACACCGACTACTTCCGCCAGAAACGGGGGTGAAATCGCGCGCGCCTCTCAACGCCGTGCATTTCACACGTTGCTTGCATGCGTAGCCCTTGACTGAGTGCTGCTCCTCTGATGACCTTTCGCTCGCTCGACGCCGAACGTGCTTCCTTGGACGGGCATGGCACCGGCTTCAGCTTGCCCTTGCTGGCAACCTTGTCATTACTCTGGGCAAGTTTCTGGCGTACATGCACAGCGGCTCTAGTGCCATGAGCTCGGAGGCGATGCACTCCCTGGTAGATTCGGCGAATCAGCTCCTGCTGGTGGTGGGACTCAGGAGCGCGTCCACTGCTCCCGACAAGCGGCACCAGTACGGATACGGTAAGGGTGTAGGATGGATTTACAGAGAGGTTGGTTCATAAAGGTATTTGCCCGTACTTCACCACGGCCACATGGTTCAAGAGAGTCGTTAGGCACTACTATGTATCGTCGGTGGACTCGTGACAATACGAGCAGCGGCAGTGGTGCGCAGCGAGCGGGTGGTCTCTGGTGAAGGTATTGTGGAAACAGACCGAACAGTAGCGGACGCGGTGACCGAGCGTGTGCGCTGCACACGAGTAAAGTAAGGTGTAGACAGCGCAGGTTTATTCTACGGTATTGTGTGAGACATTGAAATTTAATTTTTTTTAGAAGCAATCGCGCACATATCCTGTTCAGCAGGAAGGTAGTGGGGGACTACGGTTATCTCGTGACGTGCCGAGATGAAAGAAAATCTCTCTTCCACATTTCTCGGAGAAAATAATCCGAGACGCAAAGTACCCGTGCTGCTGCTGCTACTGCTGCTGCTGTTTGTGGTGGCGGTGGTGGTGTGCTGCTGCTGCTGCTTGGGCTATTTGTGGTGCTCGTTCTTCTGTTATGTCGCGATTGTCCCTCGATTGACCTGTGGAATGGTGTGGCGTGCGTGCTGTCTCTCTCGCACCAGGGAAGTCGGTGTACTTTTGGGCTCTGGTATCGGCGCTGGGAACCTTCTGGCTGGGTGCGGGCGTATCAATGAGACATAGCATCGAGGAGCTGATCAACCCCACGGTTGCTTTAGACAAGGTGCGCGATTGTGGTGGCACCTTTCGTCGCGTAATTTTCACAATATAGAAGTATGTGGGGGCGGACAGACAGTAGATCCTACGCTGTGCCTGGCATGCTCCAGCGAAACAGAGTCATTGGTGTTCGTTTGCTCCCGAACATCATTGGCATTTCATGTAGGTGTTGGTGTGTCGCTGTTGGCAAGGCAGTGTTGCCACGGCCCCATGCTGTGCGATCATTCCCTGCCATTCTTGGCTGTTGAACTCGGAGTTTGAGCGCGTTGTCGCATTGGCGGTAACGAGCCCCCCCCCGTTGCCCGATCTCACGGCGCCCATCGTGCAAGCTTAAAAGAAATGCCCGATCGAGATAATTGATATTGCTCTCAGCTACTAGTACCCCTTCTTCCATGTCTTGACAAACGGGGCCTTTTTGACAGGTGGGAATGGAGGTGTGGTCCGTGCTGGGACTCAGCCTGCTCGTCGACGGCTACGTACTGGTCAAGACGTTCGAGAGCATCTGGCAATCCAAGCCCAAGAACCTCAGCTTGAAAAAGCACTTGACGAACGTGAGTCAAGCTGCTCTCATTCAGCTGGAGCAGTGCTTACTCGTAACTGTCGCCATCGGATTGCTTGCAGTTGCCCTCAATTTTATTATTGAACTTACGATCCCCTTGGACTGTGGTTGTATCTCGATCGGGTAGTCTTCCTTTGGTTGTATGTGTATTTCCTAAGAAGCTGGGCCAGCCAAGACGAACTCGAACTGTTGTCTGGATGCGGTTTGCACGAACTAGAACCTGAAATTTTAACATGTGCTTGTTGTGGGTATAACAACGCTATCACGGTCGTCCTGCTGTGGCCGTGTCCTTGGAGGGGGACGGGGCCAACCCCTCGATTCCCAAGGCTGACGCAGATTTCGGGTGTTAGCACTGCATAGGGGGCCAGTTTGAAATTCAATAAGAATTGGCTGTATGTTTCCCCGCGTGTTTCTCTCTCACACTGATACACGGGGCCTCACTGATCACACAATCGATCTGCTGTTTTGCTTCACGCTTGCCGTGTTTTGCTGCACGGGCTCTTGACGCTTGTGTTGCTTACGCCAGCTCCGAGACCCTACGACGCTGGCAGTCCTGCTGGAAGACGGTGCGGCGTGCGTTGGCGTCCTCATGGCCATGAGTGGCATCGGGTGAGAACATAATCCTTTGGATTCCTTTGCTCGTTTGCACCGGTGATCCCAAGATTGTTCCAGTCTGCGAGGCCTCTCTCGTCCAAAGTATGATGGCCTCGTTCATTCAGACGGGAAACTTGTTCGTCAAGTCGTTTCACGTGCGTCGAAGCGTCTCGCTCTGTTTTCTGTAGTCCGTCCAAGGCGTACAAACAACAATTGATGTGCACGGTTGTGTCGCTGTCGATCGGAATGGCTCAAGTTCCGGCGGTGCGCGCACAATCAGCACACAGTGGGCTTCAGCGTCCGCCCATCAACACCCGGATATATGAAAAGTGCTGTCGAGTTACCCGCGCCTGTTACCCTACACGACATGCTCCGCCTGGAGACTCAGTTGTGCGTTTTTCGTGGCTCTGCGATGGAGCCAAGACGACTCGCTGAGGACGTGTGAGGAGGTGATGTTGTTTTTGCAAATGACACACGCTCCGCGCTTATTCCGGTATTGTCCCCACAGAGAGGTAGCAAGACATTTGTGCTTCCAGGCCTGTGTCGTGCTCATCCTGATCCGCGTTTGATTGACTGATGTAGCTGCCACTCGCTCCCCATGCAGATTGAGCCAGTACTACCAAGCCCCGGTTTTCGACAGCTTGGCCGGCGTTAGCATCGCGGGGCTGTTGGGAGTGATGGGGTTGGTGCTGACTGAGGTACGGCGAGATGAACATTCCACCGCATGCGTATGTAAGGGGGGACGAAAATCACTTCGACACAACCAAGTGTCGCGTGCAGGGCTTAGTGGGGCGGGGACAGCTAGTCAGGGTAAGAGGAGAGATATATCTCCTCTCTTCTCGAAGACGACATGCTTGTACGAAACTTGCCCCGTAGGTTTCTTTCCCCTGCCGACTCCTTGTTTGGCTCCTTGTTTGGGTGTGGCGATGTTGTGGTCGGACGGCGTCTACCCAGGCTATTTTGTTTTACCTCAGTCGTGTAGAGATTTGTCCAGCGTGTACCTTAAGCAAGACTCGACCTGTTGCCGAAGACAAGATCGGCGGAGTCAGGCTACAACAGCAGTAATCAGCGAGTATCGTGCTTGTTGCTGCGAAAGGGACAGAACCATAATCTTGCCGATTTTCTTGCTGATCTTGCTCCTCGCTGGCTCGTACAGGTGAACCGGCGATTCCTCATCGGACAGTCTGTCGATTCTGAAACGACCGAGGGCATCAAGGCCATCCTCATGAGCAGAGGCTCCATCGAGCAGCTGCACCAGGCAAGATTAAACTAAACTGGAGGAACACAAAAATGACGACACATGGGCATTTAGTTTGTTTGCCAATCCTCTGGAGGATTAAAAAAAAAAATGATACGTAAGTAATTGTGTTTATTTTTGGTGTGTTGTTTTGGGTATTTTTTTGTCGATGTTTCGTAAAGAATCCCCGAGAGCTAGCTGTTAGGTCGGCCCCGATCCCTTGTTTCGGCCGCGTGCGCACCCTTCGTGACGTGTATTCTTTCGTCTCTGCCAACCCATTTCGTGCACAACTTGGGGTCACGGCGGCAAGGGACACAAAGCGTTTCACTCATCCTCAAGCTCTACCCCTGTGCTCCGGAACCGCCTCGTAACAAGTCCTGCTGTATTTCGAACAAGCGAAGGTGCAATCACAGTGGGTGGGGACGCACACGTTTGCCTTCAAGGCCGAGGTCGACTTCGATGGCACCTTCCTTGCTGCTAAGCTCAAGCTCAACACCAGGCACGTGTCGGCGGTCATTCTCATGAGTGGTGCATGCGTTCCACGTGTCAACGGCCGTCACTTGGTGCGGGAATCTGCAGCATGTGCTTTGCGCGCAGTTGCGTTGGCAAAGGATGCGAGGCTTGCGTGTTTTTCGGCGCTGTAGAACCATGTTCGGACGCTTTAGACGATGCAACAAGCCCTGGTCGCTCAAAAGGGTAACCTCTATTGTTGGCTGGCTGCGTCTCCCCTGTTCTTCTTTAGCTTGTGCTCGCTACTCAAACAGCAGTAGTGACGTGTCTTGTCCAGCTAGAGCTTAGGCAACAAGACGAGCGGGTGTTTTTTGTTTGCCTGTTTTCTGCGAGCCGCGATCTTGTCGACCAGACCTTCGGTTGCTGCTGCGTGCGGGCGAACAGGTACGGCCAGGAGTTCAGGCAGCTGCTGGCGCGGCCTCCGGACGACAAGGGCAAGTACAAGGACCACGAGACGCTGCTCTCCTTCTACACGGAAGACGTCATGCGAGCGGCAGAGCGAGAGGTATTGCGAATGTTCGGCCCGTTAAATGGGGGTGGTAGACTAGACTGCCGTAGGTGCGCTGCTGGCTCGTTGTAGATGCGTGCGTGGTGCATCACTCGTGTCGTCTAGCCTGATCTTTGGTCCATGGGACCAGTGGTCCGGAGGGCATATGGACACGTCTAAGAGTTATGTTTCCCCGCGTACGCGTTGAGGGAAAAAATGGTCGGTATTGCCGTCGTGCATGCTTGTAAGTCTGCGTTGTGTGTCTGCATGGGTTGGCGTATTTTCAACTAATATTCACTTGCTCTCCTTGCGGGCGCCCCTGCATTTTCCTCGTTAAAATGGCTCTTGGGGGTCGCTGGCTAGCGCAACGACCGCTTCCTCGAGCATGCTGCATCGCATACATCACATCTCCTTCTTCTTTGTCTCCATGTTTCACCATTCCTTCTTCCTTTAATTTTCATCAGTCCATTGTACGCGTGCCTTCTTTTTCTTTTTTCTTTTCCTTGTCGGGCGATGAGAAGGTCCGCGAGGCTGAGACGGAGATTAGAAAAAAGTATCCGGAGGCGGCGTACATCGAGCTAGAGCCTGATAGCAGCACCCACAACATGTTCGCGCTGGAGCAATTTCAGACTCCTGCCCTTCGCAAGGTGAAGTTGAAGAGTGTGCTTGTTGCTGTGGGTTATGATTGCCTGGTGGTTGCGGGATTACAAGTCAAGTCTGATTTCGTCGAGATCAAGTTCGGAAACTGTTTTGGTTGTCAAAAGGAAAATATTTGTCATGAGACAGGCCTGCGATGTGTGTCACGTACGTTTTGTATCGGTATGAATGGCGTTGTACTGTAGGACGGCATAGATCTACACCATGTCCTCTTCTTGGCGAAATCGGTCCGATGCGGCGTAGTGGGCGACTTGACCCGGCACGCTCAAACCTTGACATGTTGATGACTTCAAAATCAGGTCCTTGATCAGCAATGTCGCAGTTACCCTGTTCATGTATCTACCGCTTTCTCCGTCCCATGCACGATTGCCCTATTGTGGTTGGAGATAGCACATTGAGACTCATCGATGCAAGTCGTGCCCGTCATTCGCGCCCTTTCGCAAGGTGGAGGAGACGACGCTGAACCAAATGCACGCGAATCTGGTCATCGCCAAGAAGGCCGCCGCGGCCGTTACCGCCGCCCAGGCCAAAGCACGAAAAGAGGACGCCAAGCGCAAAAGCAACAGCAACAGCGCCGATACTAAGGCGGTGCCTCAAGCAAAGAGCCCAAACCCTGCAGGCGCCGAGGAGATGTGGGAAGAGGAGCGCGGGGGGGGGGCGGGGGATGCAAGAGGGACCGGAGGGGATGACCAACGAGGGCCGGGGTAGCCATCCAACGAGAGGAAAGCCATAGGATTGAATCCCAATTTGAAAATTCAGCAAGTTGTCTGCGTTTTTTTATATGGATTCATTTTCGTTGTATGTAAATCTTTGAGCTCTGTACTGTTTGGATGATGCTGTCGCGCTTAGAAGGTTCCGGGGCGGTATGTTAGTCTATAGTAGGAGGTAGAACCGCGGTTTGATGGACACGAAAGCGTGGAACGGTTTTTCTTTTGGCACAGTTAATTTTTGGGCCGTGTTGATCTATTTCGGTGGGACATTAGAAATGGTAAGACTTTGCTCGACGGCGTGAACGTCGTCTTTGTCGTTTTTTTACGTTGTCGTCGAAACAAGACTGGCTTGATGGGCACGAATGGCGGGACTTTCCATGCATGGTGAAGGGTGAGAGGGTGCTGTTTTCGTTGGCTGATCGTGCGAGGCCCGGTAGGGTCCAGCAGCGAAACGTGACATTTTAGAGCGCCACGTCACTCTGACGCACTTTCTCGGGCTATCCGACCGCAGGCAACCCTAGTGCATGCGTAAGACCGCTCCGTGTGCGCGGTTCGCGTTTGTTGAGCCCACGCGACGCAATGTTAGGAGAAGCCAAGAATCGATGGCATGCCTTTACACAGGAGAGTTCGACACCTCGACCAACTGCTGCATTTTCATACCCCCCCTGAACTGGTTCATGCAAATATTTCTTTATTTTTGTGCCAGACGTGGCCCCTGTGGAGAACCCGGCGGACTAGAAAATGTCTTCGGTTCTTAGAAAAATTATCATCACTGGTGAGAAACCTACAACAATACCGTAGCACGGTCGGTGGTGGTTCAGTAAGCATACACCGCACACCCGAACACAATCTATTTCGCGCAACTTTGGGTACCAGCCATCGGTGATGTGCATTTGAACAAGATTTTGCTAGCACAGGATGCAAAGGAGGATTTTCGCGCTGAGATCTTGGCCGTCGGTGAAGGCAGACCCTGCAAAGGGTAAGTCTACGATGTGCTTACCGAGAGCACGCGGAAGAATAACGGGGTTTGACCTTGAGGCTACAGATACCTCACCCGAGGGACGACCAATGAAAAGAGAAAAGAAGGGAGATGTGACCCTTTTCAAAGGTCATCTCCACAACAACGTGATGTATATATGCCTGAAGAGCGCTTCATGTCATCAAGCTCTTACTCTGAAGGGGATCCTCGATATGTACTCCCCAAACCCAAAAACAATTAATTAAATCAAACACCCCCATATTATTCATGTGTACTCCCCAAACCCAAAAACAAATTATTAAATCAAACACCCCCCATATTTAGTGATTACACTCCTTCAGAGACATTTGAAATATTTTTTGTGTAGATCCAACATGGTATTTGTGCGGTGTGTTTTGAATTTCAACGCGTGTGGCGTTTTGGTGAGACACACAATCTACTTGAAAAACAATAGTGGAGCCTTTACTTCGAAGGGAAAGAGCGGATGATACTCTCTAACATATATGTTTTGTGCCCTGTGTACATGTGCACGTATGCGCAGCAGCGGCAGCAGCAGCAGGGCAGTACGGCACAGCAGTAGAATAGATGGTTGAACAAAGCGGCGCAACTCCTGCCGGTTCAAATTTCAAATGTTCCAGCACATTTCACGTCACACCTTTTCCCGCACACACCCCGCGGCACAGCGATGCAAGAGGTGGAAGTTCTCTGATGCTGAGATCCAATGCGAGCGGGTACTCATTCGCCGCCATCTTCAATTCCGCTCCATCTTGACACAAGACAAGCACGTTTCGTGCTGAACGCCGAACTTGGAATTGCCATGGGGGTGAGAGGAGTGAGGAGGCCGCCGGGCAACGATCGCACACCCATGTTTTCTCTGCACATTCTACGCACCCGACTTGGCATCTGGCCTGCAGATACACAAAGAGAAGCACGGCACTATCGTGTGCTGTGTTTGGTAGAGACTGACCAGTGACGAAACACACCCGCAGGCCAGCTGTAATTTTAACGACGGCCTTTGAAAATGCATATCGCGCAACTGCGCCGCATGGGAGTAGGCCACCCTCTCGATAACCCTCTCGGTCACCGTGGCAGACGTTTTCGCAGTCCGTAAGCAGCTACAATAGGAAACTGGAGTTTTGATGCCATCTCGGTTTGTCTGGCTGATCGTTTTACTACTTGCACTTCCACCTCCCCCTTTCTTCAGGATGATGCGGCCATGTACCTTTGCATGGTTCTGCAGCACACGATAGAGCGACTGGTTGCAGGAGCCTTGATGAGCTGCGACAAACCCGAACTAAGGACCAAGTATGGCGGCACCGGAAAGGATGTTCAGCCGGGCGCAGACGTTCAGCCGCGTCATTTACAGGTTCTTCCTTCTACTGACGGCACCGTGCCAAGCAGCGTACTTACGTAGAGTCTGCGCCGGACAACCGAACCCTCCAGTCGTCCCCGCCGATGTGTTCGATTATTTATAGGTGTCAGACTACATATACTGGGAGTATATACATCACGACCTCGCTCTTGCCTCGTTGTAAAGTTACGTAGATTCATTGTCGTCGTACCCACGTTCCCTGACAAACGACTCACCTTCGTTCATCAGTTAGTCCGCATCCTCTACTGATATGTGAGGCAGGATGGAAAATATGTGAGGCAGGATGGAAAATATGTGAGGCCGGATGGAAGATATGTGAGGCAGGATGGAAATTACACTTCTTCGCTCTTGGAAAGCGCACGTTCGCTTGACCCTCTTGTTTTCAACCAGTCAGTCATAGACTCGTAGTAGTATGCGCTTGGATCAGCCATAAACAAAACAAACCCTGCAAACTCTTTGTGCCTTACGGTTCACATCGCGCAGGACTACATACGGACGGACAAGGACATGTGGAGCTTCTTCAATTCCGCCTTTGCTTTCCAGGTTGGTGTCAGAGCAAGTCAATGGTAAACGCGTGGCGGCCAGACCGACCGATGGTACAAGTGCTACACGGCATGCCACGCTCCTCCAGCGGAGAAGTCCAAGAGCGTTTGGTAGCAATGACGGTAACGTGCCTGTGTTCCCTTGCCAATATGGCAAGTCGCAGGCTAAACTCGTCCCCGTCTGCCACCTGACCAGGTGATTCTTTCCGTATTCCTCGACCACGCCACCGAGATCTTTCTCCGGCGGCTCGGGTTGCCCGTGCATAACAGAGGAGTGCTTGCGTCTTGCGAGTACTACGCCACCGTAATCGATGGGCTTCAGCAAAAGAAATCGAGCAAGCCGCCGCCTCACAACAAGAGCGCTAGCAACATTCTGCCACCAGCACGGCTGTCCGTGACTACACCAGCACAACTGGCCAGAGTGGCGGCTAGAGTGAATCCCTTGTGTAGCATGTCCCCGAAGGCGTGCTTGATGATGGATGCCTTGATCCACGAAACGTTCATGGCGATATGCGAGAGCGTTGTTCAAAGGTCAGCCAGTGACAAAGTAAACAGAGCGGGGTGTGGCAATCGTAAGAACGGTATCGTGGTGTAAATTGTAAATGGCACGAGTTCTGCCGGCCTTGAGTGCTCCACCTTAAAGAGGGACGTATTGTGTTAGATCATGTTCGAAATTATGTGTGAGTGGTTACCTGCCACCGCGAACACGCGAATTTCAATAAACCCATGCAGCATCAATTGATCCTGTAGAAGGAGAAACAATTCATTCTTGGTGACGTTTGCTCGACGTTTCCCTACCTCCAACCACAGGGTACTTCTCCAGAAATTGTCGACGAGGGCTTTTTCTTGGACACACGATCCAAGATTAAGTTTCCGTCTGTCTTGCTCTGCTTTTGAACTGCGCGCTTCGTTGCGACCAATTGCACAAGCAGGCGACCAGATGCTCGCGTGATAACAATCGTCGATCTCACGGGGTCCATCGGAACCATTTTCCCGAAAAGGCTAGCTATAGAAGCCACCCGCGCGGGAGAGGAAGCAAGTTCGACCTTGTCCGGCGAATCCGCTGTACCGCGGGGGGTGGACGATGAACCGGCCGATGGGCAGGTGCGGCTGTGCATACGGCGGCTACAGGGTACCCGCACGCTCCTAAGAAAAAACTTTAGGGCGTCTCCGGAAAGCCTCCTCTTCACGGTGTTCAGGAAGGCCTGCGCGAGGCTCCACATGAGAGAGGTTGGCGTGGTTTTCGTCCATGATGGCGTGGTTTTGTCCGGGAGGCAAAAGGCGGGGACTCTGATTCGCGGCGCTGCTTCCGGGCATCGATCGGTTGTACAAGTCTTCGCCGTCTGCACGCGGGCCTGGGCGTGCAAGCAGCGTGCCGCGGCTCGACGAGGTCTTGTGAGTCAACCTCGACTTTCGTGGCTGAGCCGTTTCAGCTGAAACTTAAACAGCGTTCTCGCACTTGCCGATGTAGCCGCAGATGTCAACACCCTTCGTTAAGACCGATAACTGATGCCCATCGGAGGTATTCTCATGTCCGCGGTTCCGCAGATGTAGAAACGTTTCCAGTGCCACATGTAGTCGCAAATACCACCGGCCATGGTTGTCACGGGAGATCTTTCCTGTCCCAAGTTGTGCAACCCGATGCGACGTGTGCGAGGGTTGCACGAGGAAGGGTTGTCTTCCTATCCCGTTGGTCGCAGGTGGTTGAGTGGAGCCCCGTACACAACAATTGCAACGGTACGATTTTATCACTACAGAGTTCGCGGGAAAACAAAACCGGCGACGACGAGCGAGTGCAAACGAACCAGACGAAGGCTCTCTTCTACCTTTATTTACACTCTCGCTTGGTACTCCATATTCTGAACTGACTTGCTGTTGCCTTCGCTGTGCTACCACCCCGCCGAATTGTCCGTAGCTGGTGGGAAACAACGAACCTTCACACCAGGGGGGGGCAGCAAGGAAGCAGCAGTACGACAACTCGGTCCGAAAAGCACCCCTGGAGAAACCCTGGCAACGAACACATCAAGCATCGCGTGTCGCCCCACGGATCAGGGGTGCTGACGCTGCAAGTGAGCTGCAAACCAAACACCACCGGCCCCTGGTCC